GCAAAACAAGAACATATTTGTGGAATGCTCTTTCACCCCTCCAGCACAGGCCCAAATAGTAAGAGATGAAGAAACGCGTCCTTCAGCATCTCTGAGCTACTGGCCTCTGTTTTGTGACATAAAATGAAAAGATTTACTCGACTTTGCTGAATTTTTAATAAACTTACTGTTTGTCTTACATCCTTGCCAAAGTCTCACCTCCTTCTTCTCCTCCCAGTCCCTCTCCCCCATCCTCCCTCCGTCCCTACCCCCTAGTCCTCCCCCTTGTCCCCCTCAATTTCTGTTTAGGAAAGGGCAGATCTCCCACTAGTATCAACAAAGCATGGCATATCAAGTTGCAGTATGACTAAGCACCTTCCCATGTATTAAGTCTGGGCAAGGGAACCCAGTATGAGGAACAGGGTCCCAAAAACCTATAAAAGAGTTGGAGACAGGCACTGTTCCTACGGTCAGGAGTCCCACAAGAGGACTAAGCTACACAATTGTAACATAAATGGACAGAGTCTAGGGACTTGCTGCATTTTTAATGGGGACATGCTCACCATCAGCCATGCCCATTTATCACTCATATAACTAATTATTTTGAATTTATATTTTGTGTCAGGCATTCTTTATGCACCCCTTCATGAGCAAATAAGGTCAAATAATAAACTCATAATTTTGAAAATATGAAAATGTTCTATTAGAAACCGATTCCTTTATACAATCCTTGCCACAATTTCAAACAAGAAAATTGAATGTGAACACTGTTGTGCTTTCCAAGCTGATTCAGTAACTCATGTCCCTAACCCACAAGTCAGTAAATAACAATCTCCATATCATTCAAACATGTAAAGAATGAATGGAAACATTTCATGGTTGGTTGACTTAAACAGCTGATAAAATAGGCAATTACTTAATTGATATGAATTCAGATTAAATACCCCATCTCTCTCCAACCATCTAAAAATTTCTTTAAATTCTCACCACTAAAGACTCACCTAAGCTACTGAAAGATTTTTTTAAGATACAATCATTAGCTTTAGAAAGCATACTTGTTTCAATTGGGTTGAAACTCTGAAAGTTACTTGTATATCAAGTTCTCCATATAAATAATGAACATAGATCATCTTAACTGGGAACTACTTCATGTGAAGAATTTTGTGCTTGTTACATTAGGTGACTTAAGGATGGTTTTAGCTTCATAACTGAATGATGATATTAAGTACTTGGCAGATCAGACAGCATTTGGTGTGCAAACCTTAGAGGCTTAAGTCAAAACTTATTCTCTTCCTTAAAGTATTTTATCTCCTATCTGAGGAACAAGCACTCCAGTTTGGAGAGTGTCTTCTGTTATGCAAATATATTCAATCATGGTCATCAATTACATAGGCCTTTTTCATAAAAGGTCATCAATCTATACTCTTGAATGTATGACAGATACAGTATACACTAGAGATTTTTCCTCATTCCCATCCTCCAAAGTTTTCACTTATGAGAAGCAACACATTGTTATTAAGGTGTAATAGTGAAAGCAAACATGTTATCTGTTACCTGACATTTGCTTAGAGACTTGGATGTAATATTATTATTATTTGTTCTGTCCTTTCATTAGTATATTGTAAATTTATAAGGTTTTTTACTACTTGAGAGGGAATGTCTGCTGCAGCTGTTGTTGATATAGAATTTTTGTGTGTGATGTATATTCAAAGTATCTGTCATGAATGCTAGCTTTTGAAATGCAAGCCCTTGGGAAGTCAAAAGTAGCTCTCACTAAAGTTAAGAAGACCCAGGGTCAACAGAGGCAGGCTTAGGTTCGCATGGCCTGCCTTTACACAGTGAGCAAATGCAAAGGAGGCCTGGAGTGACATCACGACAAGCTGTTCCCTTCTTTTGGCAAGCAAGAGCTCAGGGATTGGCTTCTTTGTCATTTAAAGAATCATACGGGACACAGATTTGACTACAACCTATCACCTATAATTCTGAGGCATAGGACGAATTCCACTGAGCTCATTTCTCAAACACAGTGACAAGGCTAAAAAGGCAGTATTCAATATCTCTACTTGAATGGTGCCCTCTCAACCACTGGAATTAGGTTTCTATCAATAGCTGAATTTGATTAACAATTAAGAGAATGCAAATGAGAGATCAAAGTCAATATTTCCATTGATGCTATACAAATTACTTTAGGTAGTTTTAGTAAAATAAAACCAACTCCATGTGTATAAAAGCTATTAAGTACATATATAAATACATATTTACACACATAGATTTCTAACATTATGTTAAATTTATTTGTATCATATAAAACTTCCTTTTCTATCTCCAACTCACTTTTTCCTTCATAAAATGCATAAAGGGAGCATCACCTGATTTTCATACATATTGGAATGATGATTTCTCTGTATATAGTAATCTACCAACGCCCAGTACCTTTAGATGCATCTATACTTAAACACATAAGCTATTCCTAACTAAGCATATAGTACTTTATGCATTTTTGTGAAGAATGTGATGATGGAAACATAACACCTCATCATTTTACGAATGAATAAAATGATGTCAAGAAACGTATAACTTACAGGTACCCTAGAGTCACAGAAGAGCAGAGGTAGAACCAGGTCCCCATCTGCTCAGCCACAGTATGAAGAGCTCTTTCCACTGTTACACGGGTCATGTCACGTCACATCACATTGCTCACAGCCTTGCAAAAGCAAAATAACATATGGTTTAAATTAGGAATGGGACCTAAAGTGTATGTGTGATAGACACAGGAATGCTTAATGGAAACAGTGATGCCAACAAATTACATCCCTTGGCACTTTGCAAGCATGTAGGGGATCTAGAGACACAATCCAACCTCCTAAGCCATCAGTCATCAAGGAGATCACCCATGGAGGTTTCCCTGGGTGTACTGAAACACTGGGCTAGAGGATTTCTTTTTTCACTTTTGTCTTTTGAATTTGGGGGGTATAAAGTGGACTATGTGACAGTAAAGGGGGAATCCATCTGCCCTTAAAGACCATTTCTTTCCTGACTCTCCTGGCCCAGCACATAGCTCACGATTAACTCATACCCTCAAGACAATCAAGCTATTTAGCCCATCGTCCCTTCTCCTCCCACGCTGCACCCTAATGCCAGTTTTATCTCCTCTGATTCATTGTTTACATCCTCCATTCATGAGCTGTAAATGAGTCTATTTAACTACCTATTGATTTCTGATCAAATATTTTACTTACATTTGTCGTTTTGACTCTTCATAATCTGTTTACATTTTCTCTCAATGCAATTGCTTTTTCTTCCAGTAAAGAATTGTCATCAAATCAACATCCCTTTCCTAAATGGTTTTGCCTTGCCCACTCCTATGGCCTCCTCTCTTTTTTCAGATTCCCCCAGTACCCACACACACCTTCCATGCAAGTTCTTGTCACCATTCCATGCTCACTGTGGAGCTCTCCCTTCTCTGCTTATCTGAACTTTTTCCTAATTGTGTTGTGTTGTCAGTCTGGTATTCCCAACTCAACACAAGCACTTTAAGTGCAAGAGCCACATCTAAGAACCTCTTGAACATTCTTCCACCCACTTCTTATAAATGTTAGCATTTTGTTTATGCTAGCAAAACTTGAAGACCTTCGCTAAGGGACAGTCCAGACAAGAGAAAGGATGAGAGAACCAGCTGCATCCAAGTGATGCTGAGAAGAGAATCAGTGCTTCTTCTCAAATACATCACTCTTCTTGTTCCATGTCACTCTACACTGGGTTGATATCAACCGTTTCCACTGCAGGCTAAGCCAATCCTTCTTTTCTAACCTGGATCTACATCCAGTCCACCTGTCACCAGGTTGGCAACCATTTTATCCTCATTTCCCCCTCTGGAGACACAGCCAAATGAAGTTTCACCTATAATCCATTCAGTTTTTCCACCTTGAGAGACAGCCTCATTCTTTGTCACAGATGGAGGTCCTTTTTACTCTTGAAAGGAGATTTAGTAACACGGTGAGTCTCAGGAGCTCTCCCCAATAATGTCTCAGTCTTCCTTGGACTCCACCGAAGGCTAGAAAATGTCACTGGTGCCCCTTCCCTTCCAGCATCCTCAGGGACTTCAAAGCAGAGGCTTTGAGATGGCTGGGCTTTTCCACCCACTGTGTTCTTGCCCTCTACACAGAGAGCAGGGGAGGGCAGGGTGCCACCTAAAGCTCCAAGGGACCTGCCTCTCCTCGCTTCCCCTCCCCCATCAGAAATCACAGCCAGGGGTTCTCAGCCAACTGGCCTTTACTTTCCAAATGAAGAGAAATATTTTCTCCTGTGCCTTAAAATAAGAAACAACAGGTCCCAAGTGAGGCAGTTTGGTTTTTTATTATTATTATTTATCTTTGCTTACTTGTCATGAATGGAAGAGTCACAGGAACTTCTCAGAAGAGACCACCTCTCCCTCCCTGTTTCAGCTACTCCCTAAGGGAACAACAAAGAAAAGGGGGAAAGAGGAAAAGGTGTGTGTGTGTGTGTGTGTGTGTGTGTGTGTGTGTGTGTGTGTGGTTGATGATGATGATGATGATGATGATGATGATGATGATTCTGCCTAGGCCACTGCTAGTCTCAACACCGGTCCTGCTTCTCACACATTCCTGGAAACACACACGCAAATGCACACGCACAGAGGCATGTTGCTCTCTGGCCCTTGATCGAAAGAAGATCCCTCCTCTACCTTCTGCTGGTAACCACAGTGCAGACTCCCTTGCTCCTGCCTCACCCGCCTGCTACACACCTCCCGGGTCCCTGCCAAGAACTGCCCAGGCTCTGCTTCTGGCACACCTCACCAGGAGTGCCACCTGAACGCAGCCCAACAGCGGGCCCGCAGGGTCCCTTCTGACCTGGGCCTTGTGCACAGTCGGGAAGCCTCCAGCAGGTGCAAGCCAGAGGCTGGATCTTAACTTAGCTGTCTCCGTCTTCAGATCAAGGTTCGCAGGACTCCAGCACACTGTCTTTTCCCCTGATCTGCAGCTCCCAGAATGGACACTTACCCAGGACAAGAACCAGGAACAGCGGCAGGGAGCTGACGCTGCTGCCGGGGGCTGGGTCCATCAACTGTGCTGTGTTGGGCAGAGCAGCCCCTGGAAGAGCCTCCCTGATCCTTCTTCGCGCCCTTCCCAGGCCCTGGCCCCGGCACCGATAGGGTGCTTGGAAACTAATCCCTGAGCCAGGAGGAAGCGAAACTACGCAGCAGGCAGCCTGGCTACAGGGCAGGGAAACACCCGGGGCGGGCAGCCAGCGGGCTCCAGTGTCGCCCAGCACTGGGAGCCTCCTATTTATCCTGGAGCCTTCTGCACACACCCCCGAGAGGCGCACCACTTGGTGCTGGTAGCCTGCACGCTGCTCCAACCCAGCTGCCCCACACCCAAGGCCATATTCAGAAGGCCATGGGGCCAGCTCACCCACTCCCCCTACTGGGTCTCACCTGGGTGCCCCCGCCCCCCGCGAGAAGTAAGCAAGGCAAAATGGACCCAAAAGAGTGGCCAAAGATGACCTGGCTGCCAGCTTGTGGCCTCGACTCACTCAAGGAGCCCTCTGAGGGAAAATCAGAGCCAAACACTTCTGGCTATGGCTGGAATTAAAGAGACCTGAGCCAAGTTAACAGCAAAAACTCAGGCGTTTGACAGTTGACACAAGCCCGCAATTTCTCAAGACTCATAGCAGTCTGTAAACTTCTTAAAGGTGACAACTCAGTTTTCAGTGTCTTCTATTAGTTTATTAGCTTCTATTAATTTATTAGTGAACTCTTTGGTAAGATTTTAGCTTACCAAAATCTCCTTTAGAAATTTCATGTATCAATGGGTTGTGGGGGTGCACACCCTTAATTCCAGCACTTGGGGGGAAGAGGCAGGAGGATCTGTGCGTTCCAGGCCAACACACAGGCTCCAAAAACTACACAGAGAAACACTATCTTGAAAAACAAAACAAAAAAAAAGGAAAGAAAGGAGGAAGGAAAGAAGGAAGGAAGGAAGGAATTTCATGTATCAATGGGTTGTGGGGGTGCATACCTGTAATCCCAGCACCTAGGACTGAGCAGAAGGAGAGCAAGTTCTCAGGGTCAGCCTGGCTCACACAGCACAATTTTAACTCAGAAGCTAACTTGCTAACTAATCAACCAAGCACACAGATAAATGAAAGAACCTCGATTATGTTTCATTTATCCATTATATTTCATTTATTTACCCTCCTGATTCTAGTTGGATCTTTCTTTCTTTCTTTTCTTTTTTTCTTTTTTCTTTTTTTTTTTTTGCTTGTGTCTTGCCAAATCTTGTCCCTACTTCATCATGCCTGATTATGGGGAACTGCTATGCACCAAGCAGTTTCTGGAGCCCCAAAACATGCTCAACAGCTTTCAAAGAGGGAAAAGAGCTTCCAGTTTTACTTTATATTATAAACATACTTGCCTCTCAAATGACCAAAGGACTTGCTTATGTCTCGGGTACTGACTTACTGATCTTGCAAAAGCAATATATAGAAGCCACCCACCTTCGGAATTTGTATTTCTGACATCCCAAAGTACAATAAACATCTTTTACATATGAAATTTAAGTCAAGAATATGCCCTTTCTTTCCCATCCCATTGTATAAATTAAGCAAGTAACATTTTGTTTCTAAATCAATACTAATTATTTTAATGCTTTAGACAACTAATGTATCTAGAAAAATGAAAATTGGCTCTTTGGTTTTTAAATCCATCCATTCTAGTCCCCTAGCCAGCCCTGGGAGAGAGGGCTTTCTGAGAAGGGAGGAGGGAGAGAGGGAAGGAGGGAGAGGGGAGGGAGGGGGAGGGGGAAGGAGGGAGAGGGGAGGGAGAGGGAGGGGGAAGGGAGGGAGAAAGAGAGGCAGGGAGGGGGAGGGAGGGAGAGAGGGGGAGGGAGAGGGGAGGGAGGGAGAGAGGGGGAGGGAGGGAGGGAGGGAGGGAGGGAGGGAGGGAGGGAGGGAGGGAGGGAGGGAGGGAGGGAGGGAGGGAGGGAGGGAGGGAGCATCCCAGGACTGGGGATAGAAGGATCCTGTACCACAGATGCAAAGGGCAGAGTAGAGGGAGCCGTGGGTTTTAGAATCACTGTCACCGCATCAGCAACCCTCTGTCCTTTTTTCTTCCTGGCTTCTTTCCCTCTCATATGAAGACGCTCTGTGAGATATACCATAGTCAACATCTGTCCTCCTACTGCCAGCAGACTACTTCAGTCCTCTTGTCCTACCCCAGGATCTGTAAGTAGGAGTAAAAAAGGAAAGCACCCCCAAGCAAAGTGTACTGTATGTTTGTTGAGAATTATAAAGGGCTAGTGCATGATATATGTATTTAGCATTCCTGACATTCAAATGGTAAATTAACTTTTTCAGGCCGCTAGAGGATGAAATAGTGTGATTTAATATACTAACTAGAACAGATAAATTAGTAACTTTCCATGAGAGTTAATTTACTGACAGAAATAAAATAAATGTTCCCAAGGATATGTCCTCTAGAATTCCTGGCACTAAAGAGCCAGTCTCTTCAAGGTCAAGAGAATTCCCCTTCCTCTTTTCCGCTTTCTTCCGTCCCCTTCCTTCCTCTCCTTCACTTCATCCCTTCTTCCCCTCTGCCTTCTTCTGCATCCCTCACCCAATTCTCTACTTGTTTATGGACGAATTTAAATCTGAAATCCAAGCTTTAACTTTGGAAAGCTGGAGGTTTAGCTTTGATCTTCCTGTGCCCTTGTTCTTGTAACTAAGGTGTCTCAAGTCTTCAGATTGTACCCTGGGCTATAGCCAAAGAGGAATAGAATATCTCCCTGTGGCACGGGAGTCACAAAATAGAACTTGCATCCATCGAGCTAGACATTGTTTGGATGATGTCATCCCCGTGCCAGGATTAGTCAGGCATAACCAGCCCTCCCAAATCTGGTATGAGGCTGAAGAAGATTCCTGTGAAGGGCCTTTAAGCATTAGCCTTGTCCTCTTCCCACACAGAGTAGCCTCCATCGAGAACAATCCTCCCTCTCCTCTGTACAAGACAAAATAAGCCACAACACATAAACAGACACACATGATGATGCAAGGAAGATTCCAGAACGCATTTATTCTGGGTGAACACAGTCTCCAAATTTTGAATGTAGACCATAGATTCAGCAGTCTGATGAAGTTTTTGAGTGTGACTATCAGTATGGCTTAATTCAGCAAGAGTAGCAAAGGAACATACTTTTAAAATATATTGTTTTGATATGATGATGAAATTAATTTATAAAGTATTTAACTACTGTCTAATAAAATACTGATTAAATATCTCTGCTCAGATTTTCTATTTTCTCGGTTGTGTTTTACCGTCGGAATGTTCTGTGGAGGCTTCCCGGATGTTTGGCTTTGCCTGTCTTCTGCTTGCTGTTTGCTGTAGCATACCTTCCTACCTTTTGCCAGCTGTTTGGTTCACTATCTTTTCTAAAGAGCAGCTTAATGAGACTCGAGTGTATCTCAAACATACTCACCCATGGGATGCTGAATCTGACAGTTTAGGCTTGCTGTTATCCGTTCCTTTAATCAAAGTATTGATGCTACAGAATGAAAACTCCTCTGTTAAAAAGGGGAAGGGCAAATGAAGTAAACACCCGGGGTGGACAACTTTCAATTCTCTCTGTGGCAAGGCCCTGTCATCCCTCACTAATATCTTGCTACCATGACTTGCTCTCATGCTCCCCCATCAGTGCAGACACTCCTGTGGGTAGGATAACATAACAGATGTGGAGCATTATGAGCCACTAGTTTAGGAAGTCTTCAAACTGGAGCCAAATCATCAAGTGGGTGAATCACAAATGATTCACTTGCCCAAGCCTCAGTTTCCTCATTGACAAAATGCAATAGTAATGACTGGCGTAGTTTTCATGGCACACCATGATAGATGCCTCTAAGGCCAAAGTTTGGTACATTGGAAGTTATTCAGTGAATTACAACTGCTATGCTATTAAACTTTAAAAGGATCATAGAGAAAGCTAAGAGGAATTGGTTTCTTACTCATAATTGAGCTGGAGTGAAGAAAATAACAGAGTGAATGCTATGCTGAGATAGTACACAGAGTTTAAACTCTTTGGATCTGGGTACCATTGTGCCTCCTTACACTTCCTTGTGCCTCCAACCCTCTTCTATATGCCTTCCCATCCTCTTTCAGTTCTCCTTGTTGGGAAAGGTAGTATATGACCTAGAATACAATATTTTACTCAGCAGTGTCTTAATTATGTTTCTATTACCATAAGCAAAAACTATGGATTGATGATATAGATTTATTCAGCTCATGGTTCTGACAATGGATTTGTCCAAGACTATAACAGCAGTATATGATGAAGGCCTTCTTCATAAGATGTTGGGGGGCATCAAGTGGCAAGACAGAGAATGTATTGCTTTTTCTATTTACAAAGCCACAAATACCATTGTGACCTCGTGGAACCCTAATCACTACTCAAGAGCCCCACCTTAACATATAATTAACATAAATAACTTTCTAACACATAAACTTTCATTAAAAACAATGAAATCACAGAATTATCCCCGATGCTGCAAATACATGTCCTCTGCAATGAAAAATATTCTACCTCAGAAGTCCCAAAGTTTTAATTCAATCCAGCACTAACTTAAAGTCTAAAATCCAGAGTTTCATTTGGATTAGATGTGAGATTCAAGGCTGAATTAATCCTGGGGCAAATCGTGACAGCTCTGAGTCTATGAAATCAGCAGAAATTATGTACGTCCAAAATACAGTGGTGAGACATCCTCACTCCAAATGAGAAAATAAAGCAGAAAGGGGGAACAGTAAGGCCCGCAAACTCCAAAGCCCGACAGAGAAAACAACACTGGAGTATTACAGAACCATCTCAATTGACTCCATGCCTCACGCATCTTTCTCTGTGGCCTCCCTAGAGTTACCCCACACTTCAGTTGACTCAAGATAGAGATTCCTGTCTGAAACCCTCAAAATGCCATTGTATCTCTATAGTCCTCGATTCTCAGAGACACTCCCATGGCCACGGTACCAGAAGGCATTGCCCTCAAAAGGTTACATCAAGGTCTGCCTGGGCCTCTGAGCCTCTGAGCTGTCATGATGTCCTTTGATAGCGGAGGAGGGCAGCCCCTCACGACTCTTGTATTCTTCAAGCCTGATAGAATACACACCATCAATGTGGGGCTCCCTTCCAGGGCAGTGGATGGGGGCATCTCACTTTGGCTGATTTGACCAACAGACTATTTGACCAACAGCCAGAACAGCAGTGATAGTGGAGTTGGGGCAGCAGAGACCTAAGGCTGTCATATGAAGTGAGTTCAGGTAGTGTGCCGTGGCTTAGTGCCTTGAAGCCATTCTTCCCAGCTAATGCTCTGGTCTGCAATGGGAAGGACACACTTGAAGGTCTCTGAAATGCTTAACCAGTCTTCCAGTGTTC